AGGGTCCATGTAGCCAGTAATTAGGTACTTGGGGCTTAGGCAATTAGTAATTGTAGTACAGGTTTTGGGTAAGTATATGATGAGTGAGTTTTTATCCTTTAGGGGCCAAGGGCCCAAATGATAGGGTTTTGGAGCCCAAATACTCTAATATTATTGCTATTTCGGCCCTACACCCTATCATTTGGGTCCTTGGACCCTTGGGGTATGAGTGATCTAAACATCGAAGGATGAAATTGCTTGACGGCATTTATGGGGGCCACGGATTAGGGCTGAGGGTTTAGGATTTGCCTAGGGGTTGGAGGGCTTCGGGCTGAGGATTCTAGAGGTTCAGGTGTTTAGTTCAGGTGTTTAGTTTCAGGTTTCGGGCCGAGCTGAGAACGAGTGCACTCCCCGAAGCTAACCCCTAAGGGTCCATGCACCAAATGATTAGGTACTTGGGGCTTTGGTAATAGTAACTGTAGTACAGGCTTTGGGTAAGTATATGATTATTAGGTACTTGGACCCTTAGGGATACATGCGCAGTAGCCCTTTGGGAGGGGGCGCTCTTTTGGGTGGAGCATGGGTGGACCTAGCTCAAGATGTCACTTGACCAGGCGGCAGCTGTGCGGCTCAAGCGACACCGATGTGTGTTTATGAAGCTGCGTGCCTTCCAGGTGCCCTTTGGCAAGATCACCTTCTCTGACTTAGATATTGTTATCCGCTCCAGTCCCAGGGAGCTCTTCTAGGTGCAAGCGCCTGCGGGCACGTACCATGGATACTGGAATTGGAGCCTCTCCGGCACGGTGGGAAAATCCCGTCAAAAGCGTTGCACGAAACATCCGGCCGCGGCTGCGTCAAAGCCGGGCTGATGCACTTTGACCCTTTGCCTACATTGCAAGCAAGAAATCGCTTTGTGGAAGAGATGCTGGCAGAGGTAGAACAGATAGCTGAACGTAACGCAAGTTATCTGAGAATCTGCCTCAGCTATTACCTGGTCAACAAAATCCCAGGATGGAGGCACATCAGAGTGTGCTGGAATGAGGTCAATCCATTGCGGTACATGGACACTCGTAGTCGTGGTCTGAGGGCTGCCCAGGAGGGAATGCCTCAGGATTGGCTGCAGCTAGCGAGGATGAGCTTCTACGCAATGTTAAGATGCTTCACTTTTAGCGGCAAGTGGGTTGAATCATGGTGGTTTCTCAACACTCTTTGCCAGGAAGCCGTCGCCCTTGCTCGAAAGTTGTTCGAGCATTCAGACCCTCGTGGCATGATCGCACTCGCAGTAGCCGAATGGCTCCCGGCTGTAGCTCAGTTGGAGAAGAGCGAAATTTTCAATAAAGAGCAGAGAGACAATTTTTACCACCACCTCGATTATTTCAGCGACAAGGCTGAGCAGTTGTGGACGGACCTTGCCGTCACATGCCGCAACTGCGGAGTCAAAAACAAGTACTACTGGCGTACGGATTGTTGCGAAGAGTGTGAGGCTGCGCAGGAGTTGCTCAAGATCCAGCATCAGCAAACCGCATCCGAAGACACGCCCTCTACTTCTGCTCGCCAGAGCTCTGAGACAGCTGATGCCACTGCATGCACGGTGATTAGCCCCCTTGAGTGCCACCCATGGCGCATGGACAAATTCGATGCCCGCCTGCAGTGACCCCAAAAGGTGCCGCGCGTCGTTTCCTTTCTAGGGGCATACTTGGAGGGTCAGCGGGATTGGAACGCTGTTATACGGGTGATATACACTTAGTAACGCTACCGGGCCTCGACAGTACGTAAAATGATGACCCAGAATCGTTTAAGAGAATATGTCGAAAAGGAGTTATTCCACATGGTTCTGGGCCATTGGGTCCATGTAGCTGAGTCCTCCCGACTCTCCAAGCAGAGCTGCAAGGGCCGGGGCTTCGAAGCGAACATCTTTGATAAGAATTCTGACGTACTGTCAAAGCTTGAAAAATTTCCAATATTAAGGTCCTGGATTCCTTGTATGGTTATGGTATAGGGTACTTCAAAACGGACCTCAACAGATCATTGGTAAATACTGATGCTTCTAGATTAGGCCGATCGTAACCTTTTAGACCACGTTGAGGCCGTGGCTACCATTGTGATGTTGCTGACGTGTCTGGAATGTCTGGGTTTCAAAAGGGTGGCCTCAACAACCCCGAAACCCTAAACCCGCAGAAGTGGTATCCTGGCTCCCGAATTATGGCGATCATGCCAGGAATGCGTTGCACTTCATTTCAGACATTCTGGACCCCAAAAGCATGTGAAATGATGGCCTTTATGGCTATTATCATGGGTTTAGGGCTATTATTTTACATACTTTTGGGGTTGGGGATGTCCTGATTCTTGTGTAGAGTGTAGGGCTCCTTGACCCAACGTCGGCGCCACCTTCAAGTTGAAACAGTTCGGGTTATATACTCGCTATATAGGAGTATATAGGGGCTATATAGGGATAATGGAAAAAGAAATGGAAACTAGACCCTAAACCCCATATTAAACCCTAGCATACCTGAAAATCCTCCGTCGACCTCATGATCTCTGCCGATCCGCGTGAAATTTGACCTTGCAGATGAAGCCAACTGTTCTTCAAGACATGACAGAGATCTAGGCATTTAGGGTTTGGGGTTTAAAGTTAAGGGTGTTGGCGTTTAGGCTTTAGGTTTTCGGGTGTTCGTGTTTAAGTTTTAGTGTCTTAGCGTGTAGGGTTTAAGGTTTTGGGGTTTGTAGGGTATAGGGCTACGTTGACAGTTCTCAAACACACGCAGTGTAGAAGGAGATAAAGCAAATTGCAGTATGATCAGCTGTAGATGTGCTATCCGAACATCCTTGAAAGCATCGCTCTGAAGTGGCGTCCGCAGGGAATCCATGAACCTCATATTGGTCCTTGCTGATTGGGGCTAGCACGCCATAAAAGCCCTCATTCATTAAAGAACATGCATGCTGTGTTTATGTTTGGTGCCTACATTGTAGTTGACCTAGTCCCTAAGGGTCCAAGTACCTAATAATGATATACTTACCCAAAACTTGTACTACAGTTACTATTACCAAAGCCCCAAGTACCTAATTATTGGCTACATGGACCCTTAGGGAGTGTTTTTCGGAAAATATCCCTTGCCCGTTTGCTTCAGACACTGACCTTCTCAACCGCGGCTGCTGGAAGCTGTGGCTCGTAGGCTAGGAACCTCCTCACTTCTGAAGGAAAAAAAAGGGGTCCCAAGCCTTCCCTAGATCCCCAAAGCCCTACACCCTAAGCCCTAACACCAAAACATTCCAAGGCTTCGCCGAGATGTGCCGTACTTGAGGGAGTTCCTTCCTGGCCCGGAGTAGTGCAGAGGTATCATTTAGGATTTAGGGTTTAGGATATGGGTTTGGGAGTACTATAGGGGTTCTTAAGGAGGATACTAGGAGTTCAGACTCTCGCTCATGTGGGCGCCTGGCTTGACAAATGGGCTCAGTATGTTGGGTTTTCCTAGTCTGATAGCAAGTGCCCGACTTTTGGGTAAATGCCATGGAGGGATTCTGGAGCCTAAAAGGCTATGGCGCAGCATGTAAGGCCACTGCAATCCCGTACCCCTAAACCCTAGATAACCAAGGGTCCAAGTACCTAATAATATCTAATAACAACCATATACTTACCCAAAACCTATACTATAATTCTTATTACATCCCAAATACACAATTATTGGGTCCTTGGACCATTAGGGTAACTCAAGATTCCTTCTATTCCGAGATTGCTTGCGGCATCCTGCATCTGCACTGGGCTTGGGAGACCTCCCAAGAGCGCAAAGCACATGGGTGGTTGTCAAAATTATGGTCCCGTTTTGGGTGCCCTAAATATTAGGTGCCGTATTGTAATAGGGATCCAAAAAAGGGACCATACTTTTGACAATAACCCACCTGGAACGTTGATATCAGACGACATAGGTCTGAATATTCGCGCCAATCACAACATCTCTGTAAGAAGAAAAATGTCAAATTTTCATACCACCCAACATTCTGCTTGGATGGGGCAGAACTTTCCCCAAGCAAACATGGAATAAAAACTAAGCCCCGTTGATCGGCGATGAGGTCCATAATAAGTAGTGGGTACTGAGGCCGGAATAGTGTAGTTGGAGGGTCAAGTCATTCAATGGTACTTATAACCCAACTAAGACTCCCATGTCCCCCAAATGTCGCTGGCATTGGGTCATACCTCAATCGCAATTGGGTTGAACATGACACCAGACATGTCCTCAGATGAAAGGCTCTCCAGTGCAAGTTTTTCGTCGCTTGCGATGCAGAGCCATGCGCCGGAAAAAGAGCGAGACATCAGCTCTAACTGGCGCAGGGCTAGGTAAAAACCCTCTATGCCAGGGCTCATATGTATTTCCATTTCAGGGTTTACTCAACCGTTAACCCCCAAGCCAAAAACTATAACAAATCCAAACAGGAACTACATGGGAGCCTCTGGGTAGGGCTTGGGACGTGTAGGGAAAAGTAGAAGTTCTCCCAACATAGTGCATAAGAACCGCCAAAGTTTTACGGGGCTCCAGGGAGGGTAGGCAGAACCCTCTACTTGGAGGGCCTGAACCCTAAGCCTGAGGATGTTTCAATCAAGGAGTACTGGGAGGGTCAAGGGGGCTTGGTAGGTACAGAGTTCAGGATATGCATTTTAGGATGTAACCCTAAACCCCTTAACTCTAAGGGTGCGGGGTGTAGGGCTCGTCTCTGTAGGGTTTAAGATGTGGGGTGGGGGCCATCCTGGCAAACTAGTGTTTTTGCAGTACTCGGGGTTTCGAGGCTGGTACACGGCTCTGGTTCCTATACTGTTTAGGGTTTGGGGTTTAGAGCTGGGGAAGGACGAGAGATCTGCGTAGCCTAACAAGCGGAAACAGCAAGTGACTAGCTTAGTAAGACCCATGTTCGAACCCAGAATCTCGAGAGACAAGTATTGCTGACATTGGCAACCTGCACGGCTGTGGAATTATGGATTGTGGGCTGCTACCGCAAAGACAAGCTGGAATTTGGAATGGTTTTACATTTCAAGGTTGGACCCCTCTGGAAAGAAGAGGGGCAACTATTACAATCATGGAGGTGTCACCAGTTCAGGTTCATGGTTACAGCGCTAAGGGATTCTGCATGAGTGTAAAGCCAGGCCTGCAGAGATTGATTCTGCAGTCTCCCCTTCTTCTGCCTGGTTCTGGGTTTCTATCCAGCTGAATTTTTCCATGTAACTCGAGAACCTTGCGCAGCTAGAGGGAGTTGTCTTCAATGGCAGCCCTGAATTCTGAAAAAGAAGTTCGAACCCCCGCTAGATCCTCAACTAAACCCTCAGGACGAGGAATAACAAAGCCTCATACCTTTTCTGAAGAGTTTGCAGGCGGAATCGTTTACTCTACCACCCTAAACCCCTAAACCCTAGACCCTATACAATTTCATGGGCCGCAGCATAGGACATCTGTTAACCCTCAGCGCCGAACCCCGAAATCCACGTGCGCAAGCCCCAAACACTTTCGAAGTCTGCCATCCCCAACAAGCTTAAAAACAGGCCGGCTCACGATGCACTATCACACAAACGAAACGGCCCTACTTCAGCAAGCCGTGCGCCCTAAGCTCTACCTGGACCCCAAAAGTATGTAGAATAATGGCCTTTTGGGCTATTATGATGGGTTGAGGGCTATTATTTTACATACTTTTGGGGTGTAGGTAAACCTGATAGCGGCGTCCACGTTCGTGTCCATACTCTTTGCTTCAGGTGGTTTTCACCGACAAAGCCCTGCACAATAGACCCTACAAACCTAAATCCTCCAAGCCTTGAACCTTCCCTAGCCCCTCCCATGAATCATAGCTAAAAGAATGGACCAAAACCTGCAAATCGACTACAGCGGAGGGTCTAGGTAATTCTTAAAGGGAACCCCAAAACCTCAAAGCCGTAAACCCGCAACCCCTAAACCCTTGCCCCTCAAACCGTGGATCCTTGAACCCTCAACCCTTAAACCCTACAAACCCTAAACCCTAAACCCTAAAACCCTAAACCCTAAACCCTAAAACCCTAAACCCTAAAACCCTTAAACCCTAAACCCTAAACCCCTCAACCCTTAAAGCCTAAACCCCTGAAAAGCATCGACCCCTAAGCCCTGAAACCCTCGACCCTAAAACGCTAAACCCTTAACCCGGAAACCCTGGGTTTAGGGTTTAGGGTTTAGGGTCGGAAACCCTTTAAAACAACATTCGCCAGGCTCCATCCTCACCACCCATGCAGCACCGATCCCCGGTGGTGCCTTGCAAGCTGGTTTCAGATTTAGTGTTTAGGGTTTATTTAGGGTTGTGGCTTATCTAGGGTTTATGGTTTAGGGTTTTTTTTGTGGCTTACCTAGGGTTTAGGGTTGTTGCTTACCTAGCGCTTAGGGTTAGGGTTATGGCTCAGCTAGACCTCTGTACCCTACCCCTTTTTCGGGCCTAATTTGTAAATAGAAGGTCTTAGACATAAAGTTAGGTTTTCTAAACAAAAAAAAGGAGCGAAAAGGGGTCGTGGTTGGGTGGTCCAGGGGCTTAGTGAACCGCTTAGGGCTCAGGGTTACCGGGGGTTTTGGGCTGGCCTAGGTGGTTTTGGGCTTTTGGCGTTACGGCTTGAGATTGGTGGTGTATGCGGCTGCTGTTTTGTAAAGGGCTTCG